CAAAGCTCTATCATAGTTTCTTTTTTCAGCTTCCAGGACTTGTCTGATCTTGAGTTCAAAATGCGCTCAAGTATTTGGACTTTTCACAACATTTCCATAAAATCAACTAAACATAAAGTGGAACCACTTCTGTGAGTTTTTCATTATCATTGCACTATTAGGTCGTTTTGGTGTAGTACAGACGGGTTGCTTGGGGGTGCAGGATCACCGTTGATACATTTGCCGATTTTACATTAACGATCCCCTCCACGGTTGATGGCCTAGATAGCGTCACTGAATCTGCCATCACTTAAAGGCAGAATTCACAATGAAAAGTTAGCTTATTGGAAATAAGGGTAGAGGTGGTCAGTGGAGCAGGGATGAAGAAGAAACCATTTGAAACGGCCCGAAACCCGAGAAATGGGACCCCTTCCTTGCCCGTTGATTTGCGCATTGATGCGACTCTCTTCAACACTACGCTCTCTGCTATCTAATCACTCGCCACGTATAGACCTGCGGCGAGTGATTAGATAGTCGGTGGGCGTACCCCGCCAACCGCGCCAAGAGTGAGCCATGCTAGATCGCCGAGGTCAAATCTTTCGCTGCCAATTGCGCGTCGGTCAGCACCCTCAGGAGGTCCTCTCCCAACTATGCAATTTTCTCCTTCTTTGACCGTTTTTATCGTAAATTCCTCCAACATACTTTGTACTTTCCTACTTCGCTCCCGGAATCCCTCCTAAACTTCCTTTGAAAGTGAAGTGGAACCGTGACGGGGGGGGGGTGATGTGACACCTTTTGAAAAATTAATTTTTTACATTTTCTACACTAACATTTCACTTTAGTAACCCCCTTCCACTTGAAAATCACTGTTGTTAACCCATTGCTGGGAAGACTCAATGGTTGTTCGACCCTTATCGGAGGAGTTATTGATACCTGGTAACTTCCATTTCGATTTGAGTAGTTCCATAATAGAAACTAGGAATGCGGAACACTTTTCGCTAAAACTTCACAATACATTGAGAACACATTGCCATTTTTTGACCATTCCTGAACGGTCAATCGCGAGTGCGAATGGGAGAAATTGCTTGGATTAGCATTTTGTGTGCATGAGACTTCGCTGTCCCAGAAGTGGAATGCAGCCGCTTCTGTCTGTGCTCGATCCTAGAGTTCCCCTGATACTTCACTCATTCTATTTTTAGTGCTCTGTGGAAGAGTTCAACGGTTACCAGATTGAGATATCAACTATGTCTCGCCAGTAGACATCTCAACTATAGATCTGTCGTCTTCCATCTAGGTGAGACTAATGAACATAACGTTCTTTATCGTGATTTGTTGCACTATCTCTAGGAGTATGCATATTTGATTTTAAATTCGGGTTTTCGATAGTGAGCTTTCCAGCTTTTCCTTTCTATCTGAGCAAAAAATAAATGGAGTTGTGCAAAAGTGCCAGATGACCTCGATGTGATGCGTAAAAAATCGTACTGCGCCTATTCTATTGTTGGTGTGTTGTGCGCAGAAGTGATCAGATTTTGTTAATTACAGCTAACTCCGAAATTTTGCGAATGGTACCAGAAGTCATTGAAAAGCGCCAAGGCGAATATGGAGAACGGACCTATCAAAACCAACATCTGATATACTTTGACAGTCCCATTGCAATATGGATGGCCTTACAAGCAACCCTATCCATGAAGCATGTAAGTGTGATGCTTCATACACCATCATATTCCCAGTGAGCGTTCTTCAAATAACGATTTTAGGACTCATCTTTCAACATGGGTAATCGCTTAGTATTATTGGCAGCCATGCAAAGCATGATCTATACAACAGTCGTGTGAGTTTGGCCCCTTTCCCTTCTGTGATGTTGGATGTTGACAGAGTCAATTGTCTTTATGTATTTTTGGTCGCCATTGATCCTTTCAGTGCGAAAAACACAATACTGATGCAAATGTGCGAGTTTCTCATTGCAACAATGCTGTGTGGCAATCCAGGTCATACTTCTTCTGTTGTAGCCTTGGAACACTCAGTACATCGCTATAACAAAAGCTACGAGGCGGTTTCTTCGAATTCCTCTGTTTCCGCCCTTCAAGTTTTCCCGTAATTTTCAGATTTCAGAATAGTGTAGTATGGAACGCGTATAAACTAATTGCTGAGTACGAAGAATGGCGAGGACGTGCGGGATTCGGCGGAATGATCCTCAATACAGCAGAGTCGCTCCTCGAAGTGGCTGAATGTTAGTGCTTTTGTTTTGCTCCTTTTGTTTAGTCCACAAAAAGTCTTCCGCTCAGAGCAGTAACGCAGTGCTTTGATGCCATTTGTAAGTAGGTCATTTCAGCAATGCCTAGTCATGCAGCTTTGTTTGTGGAGACGGCTTGTCGGATATGGGTTAAACAAGGACGATGTGAAGAGAAAATGTGGGTTTGAGTACCGCTGGTCCCTTGAACCGGTTGCGCCGTTGAGATGTATCGATTTTGAAAGATGGGAATTGCTCGACTCGAAGTTGAACCTTTTCACAAGGCACTTTGTCTCATGATAGGTTCGATGAGTAAAACTATCTGGATAAAGTTGGTTACGGAGCCCAAATATCATTCCATCTTTTGTTCACTTATCTCCTCCTGTAAAACCCCTCTGAAAAGTTACTCCTCGAGGTCTTCTTTCTTTTGGTTGGACTAATTCCAATAGAAGAGTTCTTCCAGAGCTGAAGCTATTTCGAAAATCCTCAGGAAGTGTCCTCAACTACTCGGACGGTTTACACGATTTCTCCAAGCAATCGATTTCGATCATGAGGTCGAATTAGTTGTGGATGAAGTATGAATCTTCGCTCCTATTACTCTACATTTCTTCAATTCCTTTCTACTTGATAATCTTAGATGGAATTCTTCTGGTGATTGGGTTCTTTCCATTGCAGGTTTGCAGCATGCAGAACACTACTCTTTCTCCGAGCGATCCGGCTTGGTTAGATTGGTGCCAGTCACGTATTGAGCGTCCGGAGAGGTCATCGAGTTATAGTTCTTTTGCATAGTTCACAGCATGTCTCAAAAGGAATGTTTCAGGTATGGTAAAAGAACCGAGGTCCTGTCACGTTGTGTCGATGCGCTGTTCCGATTCCTTGACTACGGTTCGAATAGAGGCTCTGCTCGGGCTTGGGTTCTACTTCACACTGTTGTACAGCTAGTCAACCCTAGCTTGCTTGTACCAATATGGGCCCAGAGATGCGACTGGTGGCCTAGGTTTCATACAGTACCTTTACCTGCTGAAGCAGACGCTCGAAGAGCCGAGCTGTTGGCAGCACTTGCGGAAACGCCCATCGAATAGGTTTATTCGTAATTTATGGTTCTCAGTGCATCATGCGTTATTCGGATGGTAAATGCTGCCAACCTTATCTTAAAAACAAGTTCCTTATTTGCTTAGTGAGGGCTGTTCAGATCTGGTTATTCTTCGATCGAATACAGAAAGTGAACCAACCTGCTAAATTTTTTAAAACGCACTCTGCACCGATCTGTGGACGAACTCAGGTTGCACCACTGCGTCTTTCCTAGTTAATCGATCCCTATCCGGAGACGAAGGGATAGGATCCATCAATAAAAAGGACGTAGTAGTGTGCACGGATTTCGCCCATACGGTATCGTAGAATGTGCCGTCTTGCTGTTTTTCCATTGTTTTGTTTTCTTCACTGGTCAGTCAATTACCCCATCCACCTCCATTTTTAGCTCACAATTGAGCAATCATAAAACATAGCTATCCACTCTATATATGTATATATAGTGCGCTAGTACCTTCTCAATTTGAACTGGAATATGTTACATCTACCATGAGTTGTCTTTGAGTCAGTTCGCCGTTAAGGTACTCCGATCTTCTCATCCATCAAAATTGAAGTAATCCCTTTGTGTGCCTGATTCCATAGGGTTGAGTAGACGCGTCAATCTGGCATCTCCCGTATGACATTGTGTATAGCAGATAACCCATGCATTTACAAGTCTGGGCAGAGGCCAGCTCCAACTGGATCTGGACATAGGAACAGCGTAGGTGATTGGATAGTCATGATTGCGCCGTGTTGATAAGTGTTGTGCGTTGAGTAACATGGTGAAACGTGGGAAAACGGATTCTCAACGCAGTAGCCCAACTAATCCTGTCCGAAGTTCCATCACAGGAGGAAATAATTGGGCGGGTCTTGATGTCCTCGCTTGTGAGACGATCCAATTCTACGTTCCCGAATTTGTGGGTCTTTACCAGAGAATAATAAGTGGGAACACTTGGAAAAGGCAGGCAATACAACATCGTCTCACCGGTCCACGGTCATTTTTTACCCGCGCATAGCCGTTGTGACAGAAAAACAATGATTTTTGAATTGTGTTTTGTTGCCAACTAGCGCACTGTTTTTGGCTGCAGTTCGCCCTTGCGAATGTTTCACAAGAATGCTGGGTTGTGAACAAAACTTTCGCCCCAGGCGGGACTAGAACCCGCACCTCTCGCTTTCCGGGCAAGTGCGCTACCAGTTACGCTACCGGGGCACCATTTCATTCCAACTCAGCTTTTCATGGTATACGTACCATAGCTTTCAGCACTCACACGTACCTGAATCATTTGAGACCAGCGACAGCTGCCGGAGGCTGCCACTTGGAAGGGACAGACACAATGAAGAACGAACATCATTTTAAGGATAGACTGAGAATGGTAACAAGTCCAAGAATGTGGTATTCCTATGGCATATCAACAAAGAGGAAGTAGTAACTAACCCAGGAACCATGAATTTGGAGTTATCAGCAGCCACGACTATATCACACGATGCCACCAATTGACAACCAGCTGCAGCAGCCACGCCACGTACCTAAATGAAAACTTTCCTTCCTACAAATGAAAAAAGGGAACAACAGGTGGTCAGCGGTGAGGGTGAAGAGCGACTAGCAACTACCACTCAATAAGCATGAAATCTGCGTCTCACAATCGCAGTCGTAATTTCCACTCAGTGCTCTATCTGCCCGAGATCCATATAATGATTGAACGAGTACTCATCGGCATGATATTTGATCTTTGCTTCCGCGGAGCAATATAATCGCCGTCTTATTTCATGTAGTCAAGCTATATCTCGTCGTCAGTATCACCAGTTGCCTTTGCTAAATAATTTAATTTGTTGTCTGGAACTAATGTGGTTTCAAGTACCTGCCATACAGATACAGATTTGAATATTTTTACTGGAAATTTCCTTTGCAGACACCTGGCCTTAATATCATAGGTAAGCCTACTCCATCTTCTTTCCTCCAGCATATTTCTTCCAGTTTTGACTTGTTATCTTAGGGTTTTTTTGTAGCATTGAAATGGAGGTGTCAGGACAGTGGTTTGGCCGAGTTTTTTTTTTCCGATGTACTGAAACTCTGACGTGATGCTCCATAGTCCATAGACCTTGTGCGAAACTTGAACTAAAGATGGAGGCCCCAAGGCAACCACAACAACGAGAAGGCGCAGTGCAAACAGGTCTAGGCTCCAAAACTGAGTTTGTTTACGTCCGGCAGCGCGTTAAGATGTGATTCTGCTGTTGAGCGGACCGGCTTTGTGCAGAACTCCCGCTAGACAATTATTCCAAACTGTAGCTCCACTATAGCAAGCAAGTAGGACCTAAAAATAGGTATAGGCCGTTTGAAAATATAGTGGCTCTTGAAGATAATGGAGAGTAAAGCTGACAGCCGGGGGCTACCGCATGGGCCTTGAAGCAACCGTAGAACGTCTCACCGCAAAGGTCGTTTTCCATTCCACTTTACCAACTGAAAATCTTCTAGATTGTCGAGATGCATAACATACAAACGGTAAATGACTCATCGCGATTTAAATAGAGCCATCTTTCTATAGAGAGTTAGAACGTGAAACTCCAAAAACTTCCCCAAAGCGAAAATTGTAGAAGAATTAAAGTTGAGCCGAACATGGGTGTGGGTACTTAGGACAGAAAGCGACATTTTCGCGCTTCGCAATGCGACATCGCGCGGCAGGCCAGCGCTCCCACAGCGAAAACAGCTACGGTACGAGGGGCGCGTGAATGGAGCGCGTTATTTGCTCTGGTTCTAAGTTGCGACAAGGAATTTGAAGCTTACTAACCATGGACTTGATAGTGAACGAGGAAATGGCCACCAGAAGAGGACCACTAAATAGCAGTGAAGAAAGAGGTAGGTTAATTTTGCAGAGGATGGATGGTAGACCCTGGAAGAGGAGTGGTTGATGGACGTTCGATGAGACTCACGACAAAGGATCAGTTCGTCAGAGTTTGCTATGATATGTATACTAGAGTCTTACCTAGGCCGCCTAGGCCGATGAGTGGGTTAATTACCTCGTTCACCAATAATTTGAAGTGTTCTAGAATTCTAGAATACCACTTTAACGGCATCGCTCGGAATCGTGTAATTCACAAAACATTTCCATTGATGAGAGAGAATTGGTGATTCACCGCATGTCTCAATACAATGAGTGTGAGCGTGGGCAAGCAATAAATCAGAAACTTACAAATTCACGCATGCGAAAAAAGCTGCTCCAATCGCGCGCTCTTCATACCGTAGCTGTTTTCGCTGCAGGGAGCCCCCGCCGCGCGATGTCGCATTGCGAAGCGCGAAAATGTCGCTTTCTGTCCTAAGTACCCACACCTGCTCGAACATTCAGCAGTCTTTCGCGGGACTGATACAACCCTGCTCTTGGAAACCGGTGAAGTTAACACAACACCCGATGGCTCTCCAGTCTAAATGGGATGCTCCAGAAACAAGTTCGTCAACCGAGAGAAGTGAACAAAACCCCTTCATGGTGACGCTCAGCCACACGTCCCATGAACGACCTCGCAAGTATTGAACAAACTGGCCTACGAAGCTGTGATCCACACATATCTCACTCGCTGGACCTCTTTATCACCAATACCCCCTTTTGCAACCATCTCCACAACTCTTTAGTAAGAAATGCTTCAGTGTTCAAACTGATGTGAAAATGACACTCAACGAGATCATCGCTTCCAGAAGCGCTGATTTTCATGTTGGAAGGATATTTGAGCATCCA